GCTTTCCCTTTCGCCTCCCTGCATTGTGCCTACATATGCAAATTAACCGCCATCTTGTTGGCAGTTAACTGCCAATCTTAGTTGGCAGTTAATTTGCATATAGCCCTGATTAGCCAATGAAAAGGGTAGCGTCGTACGCCAATTACCATTTTTCTCTTTTATTAGTGTAGATGGGAATTACATTATTTTAGAGCCCCAAGTGATCTCAAAGTCTTCCCATATTACCCAAATCTTTATATGTACAGAGCTGATCCTCTGAGAAGTTTACTGACTTACACAAAGTCACATAATTTGACCCTGTTGAATATTGATTTAGAATAAGAATTCTAAGAATAGCCCTGGCCAGGTGGCTCAGTTGGTTGGAGTGTTGCCCCTCATACCAAAAGGTTGCAGGTTCAATTCCTGGTAGGGGCGTATACTGGAGGCAACAGAGCCATGTTTCTCTCTTGCATTGATGTTTCTCTCTCTCTCTCTCTCTCTTCTTTCTCGCTCTCAAAAATAAATGGAACATATTATTCTCATGCAAGGATAAAAAAAATTCTAAGAATAGAATATCTCCTTTCAGGGATTATAAATAATAATTCTTGCTACTTGACCAGTACACTAGCAGCAATCTTTAAAACACTATATTTATTTGGATAAAATATACTATGTGTTCATTATATGTTTGCTCAATGAAAGTATAAGCAAATATTTAAACTGAAAGAAGATGCAGAAGCATTGTTTAGCAAAGTACAGATGGAAAACCAGGACTTTGAGTTAAGAAGCCATGACATGCCAAACCGGTTTGGCTCAGTGGATAGAGCATTGGCCTGCAGACTGAAAGGTCCCAGGTTCTATTCCGGGCAAGGGCATGTACCTTGGTTGCGGGCACATCCCCAGTGGGAGGTGTGCAGGAGGCTGCTGAGCAATGTTTCTCTCTCATCGATGTTTCTAACTCTCTATCCCTCTCCCTTCCACTCTGTAAAAAATCAATAAAAAATATTTAAAAAAAGAAGCCATGACAAAAGAAAAAGTAAGAAAGTATAGTTTTCTTGTAACAGTGTTCAGACTGTAAAATGAGCAGTCCAGCATTAATCATATGATGTACACATCTATGGCCGTATATATAGTATGTTTTTTCAACAAAATATAACATCTGGCTGCTACAATTAAATCTTCAAACTTCTCGATCTCAAAGTTACTAAGTCCAGGTAGCCCCAAAGCCACTTCAGTACTTGGCTCATTTTCTTCTTTCCCTCATTCACTCCATTCATGCAGCTAACCCTCTATGCCAGCACCATGCTAAATATCCGGGAATGACAGTGTATGAATTAGATATAATTCAGTCCTTTTTCCAGTTAACAGTTTACAGCTGTTGAGCGTTATTTCCTCCATTGACTCTTTAGCAAAAACGTGAGTAGTGCTGAGAAAGAAACATGCGCTGGGAGAATGC